CGCTGGAGACGCTCAGAAGCAAAAAAAAAAAATTTTTTTTTAGAAAAAAAAAAAAAAAAAAGCATTTTTGCTTCCTTTTAACTAAAGAGGCAATTGAAGATAACCATAATCAAGGTTTGCATAAAATTACATTTATTTCCTTTGAAAAAGAATGTTGTAAAAATTGTTCTTTTTTCTTCAAAAATAACTTCACCTCATCATAACAGTCTTTACATATCCATCTTAAAAAGGCGTAAAACTATCAAAAATGCCATTCCAAAGGGCACTTTGTCATATTAAGAGAAAAGAAATTAGGTATATATTGCATTTGAAATTCTACTCATGCTCATGATCTCAGTGAAACAGGCAGAAAACAGAGGTTTGCTAACATTTGCATCCAATTGAGTGCTACAGTTTGAATTAGGCACAGTACCTTCACTGTGACTGATGGAACTGCCTCTGCTTTTACCTCACTGTCAATGGCCTGCTGTGAAGAAAAGGTGAAAACAGAGTAAATTCAATATTACACATGAATGAGTGAACACAATGAATGCAATATCACTCCCCTAGCATCTACTTGGTAAACATGGAATTAACTGTAAGGGACTTATCACTTCGATGACAGATTAAAATACACAAAATGTGTTTTTTAACTCCTTCTGAAAATAAAATGCCTCTATTTGAAACTGCCTGCAAAAAGGATAGTAAGAGGTCATGAAAGCTAATACGCTTTGACGTATATATGAATATTTGAAACTGTTTTGCTTGGCACACTACTTTCCACTGTATATTTATTCAAATTTTGCAAATTATTTCTGTTATTGAGCAAGGAAAGGTGACTTCCAATCTGCCAGTAAATTATGCACACCACAGCATGTACTTTATAATCACCACACACTATCTTAATGATCAGAATAATACATCTTGAACTTCAAAAGAAAATAATGGTGGGCATCTTGTTGCTGCCATTTTTATCCATTGAAAGTAAAATTCATCTTGGCCATGGAGCCTTTCTGAATATCTTGGTTTATGCTCATATGTCATTTTGCAAGGGGAAATCTCCACAGTCCCAGAATGTATTCTCTTTAAACTATTATTAAAGCTTAACCACTACTAAAATGCCAAAATGCACTGACGTAAGATTTTTCTTTCTCATGATGACTCTTTCAAAATAACATGTATTTGCTAGCATTGTATAGTGTTTTACATATCTAAACTGCAATATAAATAATAATGGTTATTGACTTATTTTCAATTTATCTCTAATTTCTCTTTCTAGGGACCTGAACTTTAAAAATTTCCTTTTATTAAAGGTACATACAGATTCTGCATCCAATTCAGGTGAAACTTCCGCAATGACAATTAGCTCTCTCTCACTTTCAGATTTGGGCAAGATATCTGGAAGGAAAAAAGAAAAAGAGAATCTCAGCTCTCCTTTAACAAATGTTCAGTTACATTTCTAAAAACATCAAATGATTTCAACAACAAAATTATTAGAATTTTATATCATTAATATGATTATAGCTCCTACTATTAAAGGGGAAAAAACAATTTTTAAATGGAGAAGTCTTTCAATTTTGCTGTTTAATGTGAATTCCAGTCTGGAGTTCTGTCTTATGGATGATAAAGTATTTATCACCATTTCATAACAGGCTTTTACAGCCACTACCTGTGACCTTCAATGATTCTAGAAAGATTGTAGAGAATTTTAAGATTTGTTTCATCACACATATTCACTAATAGATCTATAACAAATAAAACTACTGTTCCAAAATACATGCCACACACCTCTCATGGCACACTTTCTTCTAAATAATCGAGAATTAATGCATTAGATGAATATACTGTGTCCAATATTGTAATGCAACTAGAATACATCTTAGAAATTCCTTTGCATGGAAAATAAAGTTTTACATTCAAAATATGGAGTTTAGTTGAAATATAGTGAGTACCAAGAATTACACACAAGGTAAAGAATGCTACTAACTGGTAGCCTTATGCAGATTCACACGTGGAAAAAAGTTGCAAGGTTTAAAACAAAGACATGTAAATATCTTCAAGAATAACTTTCCTTTTGTGGAAAAAAATAAAGGAAGGAAGTTTCCTAACTCTTTAAAAATACTGCTGTCTTTCTGAAAAGTATTTCTTCTCAATATTAAATGTACTGAAAAAAAACGAAAAGAAGAAAAAAAGTAAAGTAATTGGGAAATTAACATAGCAACTGAGCAATTAAGGAAAGTAAGCACATCCAGAAAGCTCCTGGAATTTTATTACACGTAGAACACTAAAGATGAGCTCAGAACTACTGCGTAGCACATTACGTCTCCTTTGAACAATAGAGAAAGGGGAAAAGACTTAAGGATTTTGATGAGAAGAGAAAAAGTTTTCCTTTCAGAGAAAGTTTTCTAGTCAGAGAAAATGCCAAGAAAAAGATAGCAAAAGCAAATCATTTTGCCCCTGATATCATCAACTACAGAGCCTATACCTGTTTCATACTGTCACACACACACAACTGGTTTTGCCAATGATAGCAACTAGCGCAATCCATTCCACCTGTGTGAATAACATAACATCTATCTTTTCCAACCCTATTGAATCTTTTTTCTTCAGGGTGTTTCTTCAAGCAAACCATGACGAAGGTGTGCCTCACAGTTATTCTTCTATTAGAAATAGGACAGAGACCATAGCCTAAGTTCACGTAGAGGCATCAGCTTTTTGTTAGCATTAAGCTGCACAAAAGCACCCATATTTAGTCAGTTACACTATGCAGATTGATGCAAGTAACATTAGATTTAAGCTAATGTACCACTAAAAAAAAAAGTTTTGAAATATTACATCAGTTTTTATAATGTAAATCCTCCTTTGCAAAAAAAAAATATAAAGTAACTAAAGTTCAACAGTTTAATGGTCAGCACTGGACAGAAAGACAAAACATATTTATGGAAATAACCACTCTACATATTTTATATGATGAGCTAATTCTAAAAACCTTCCGTTTTTGGACGTCAAAATGAAACAAAGAAAAATTAATGCCATATAAGGGCAGATATTTAGAACACCACAAGATCTGACTGCATACACATGAACATAGACGACAGAAAAATCAATGGTTCATTTTAAAGACCACCACTCATTTATCTGAATGGTGACCTGTGTTCAAAAGTGTTTGTATTCCACTATCCAAGATAAACAGGTTTTAAGACTCAGCTGAAAACCTGAAAAAGCCAAAATGCAATAAAGGCAAAACATCACAAATTAAACAGCATTTTCATAACATTTTTCATTTTTTGTTGTAACAAAAGTTTTCTGTTAAGTTTTACATCCAATTAAAATTAAACAAGACCTCTTTAGATCGTCTCTTCATTAGAGCGAACATTGGTAAGATCTCCTACGACACCTTAGATCAGCTTAGAAAGATTCTAAGGAAGAAGCAAAATAAAGGGAAAAGGAAAAAAGGAGGAAAGAGCAATATTCACAGTAAAGGTGGGAATCTCACTACAGTATAATTCTATTGGAGAAGTTTAAAGGACAGGGCTTTTATTTTCTCTCTCCCCATCCCTCCCATTTTCCTCCTCGCTCCCTCTTTCCTCCTACTTCCCCCCATCCCGACTGTCCTCTCCCATCACCTCGAAAGGACCCCTGTTTTGTCCTTCTCCCCACATCTTCTCCTCTCCTGTCTCTCTCTCCCATCTCCTCCCCCCCTCCCGCTTCTCCTTCTCTCCCTTCCCATATGTATACTTGGCACAACATGACAAAATGCAAGTTACAGGAAGGTTCCTCACAAACAGATTTATTCTACCCATCAGGGAATTTTAGACATGTGCATGTTTAAATACCCAGCTTCTGGATTTGTCAGAAGGAAGTAGGAAACCCTGATGCTAGTCTATCACAACAGTAATGGAAAAAATTATATGCGATTACAGAGATCTTTGACTTGGAAAATCAAGTTAATTAATGCAGATAACAAACTACTACTTTTCTAGAGACTACAACGGTGCGCTTTTTAGCTCCCCTTTTCACACAAATTATATAATTTTCAATATACATTTTGAGAATGTGCTAAATAACCTCTAGAAAAGACTTTAACTAGTACTTTCTACTTCCCTACAATATTTTTTCCAGCGTTTCCTGTAAAATGACATGCTCCAGAATCCCAATGCAAGACAGATGTACTGTTTGAAAACTAAAGTTATGAAAACACAATCTTTAAAGGATCTTTGTGGAAATACTGTTCCATTATTTGAACAAGTGAGTGCAATATAAGTTATTAGCAACACACGTAAATTCCAGAGTTTAACATGATTGGTTATTCTGTGCCATACTTTTCATATCTCTTGCCATATTCACATATAACTGCTTCTGAAAGAGGTAACAGAACAGTTGCAATAACACAATTCATTCTTTGTTAATTGCATGACATTTAAGAAGCTGTTTGTAATAAAAAATAGAACTTGGCCACACTTTTGCTCTTTCTGAAGCCTTAAAATTATATTAGACTGCATGCATGGAATTACAGAAGTTTTCTTCCCTTCCTTTGCCTCCAGTTTTTCTCTGAACCCTAGCACCAGTAAAAATTCTCTTTAATCTGACATCAATATCCTGCACGTTCCTACAGGCATTATGGAAATGCAAGTACACTGCATATCCAAGAGCCAAAGAGTCTATGATTTAGTTTGTATGTCTGTCACTAGGAGAAAGTGGTGGGGTTTTTTTTGTTTGTTTGTTTGTTTTTTTAATTGGACATATTAAATATTACATTTCCTACATAAATGTAAACCATAATTTAAGTATACAGCAATTTAAAGGCAAAAATGAGAGCCAGGCAGTCAGAGGTATATACAGAAAAGGGAAGGGTATACCTTGTGTTTTTGTGGCTTCCTTGATGATTTTCTGAAGTTGTTTCATTTCAGCATCAATTTCTTCATAGTTTATTTCCCTAGATTCAATCTTGGGAGCCTGGAACAGTGAAGGATCAGTTCCAAGGTAGGAACACTGAAGATGCCCACTGTCACTCAGGGTAACTATTACACCCCTCAGATCTCTGCATAAATATAAATAAATAAAGCTCATTAAGAAATGAGAACTGCACAAGCAAATATAACATTGAATTTTTAATGCTGCTTCTACTGATCTGTCTTTAACAGAATTCCATAAATAGAATTTAATAAGATCCTTTGGACAAAAGAAAACAATAATACTTATTCTTTTATTCATATGTGTTTATGAATATCAGTCTCTCTTACTATAATCACATCTAAGGAGCAATCTGTGATAGATTACTAAGATTCTAGTAATATACTGTAGTAATAATAATATAATAATATAATATATATAGTGTATATACTGTAAAATACTATCCTCCAAATAACTCATATTCTGTATGAACAAGACAGGCAAAGGAAATGACCAAAACAAACAAACAGAATACAGTGCTAATCATTTTTATTCAAAAGTTCTCATTTAAATTTTTGAAGAATATTCATATTGGGTATGCAGGAAGACAAGTTAGCTAAACAGAAAACAAAATAAAGAAAGAAAAGGCGTGCATTTGAGAAAATCACTAATCAAATGGAAAGAACATTCAGAGTGAAGGCAGCAGGAAGGACTCAGGCGGCATCAGCAGCATCCCTTATTCTTAGACTGCTGCTGCAGCTCCTGTGCTGGTTTAAAACATTGCCTGGCTCCTCGCTGCAATACCTTTCTGAAAGGACTCACGGATCTGGAAGATCCCCTGAGATCACTCTAGACCAATCCAAGTTAGTGCTTCATTAGCTATGGCATAGTCCAGAACGCTGTATTCTCCAGCGTTACTTGGTTGATCTTCCTCCTACAAAACCTGACTCATATTTTGAGTATATGAAGATGTACCATGAAGGCACAACACTGTAGAAAGGCATTTTCACACATTATAAGATAAAAGGGCAAGCACTGCCAACATTTGACTTCTCCCGAAGGTTTTCCAGAATCAGAAGAGGAACACAGCACTAAAGGAAAGCTAGCAAAGCTGTTAGTTAAGCTAACAGAAAACTAACTTTCCTTCTATTTTTAAAATGATATAATTAATTTTAAAGTTTACATTTATTTTCATAATTACAAGATGATGACATACTCAGGCCAGTAATACATTCTTATTCCATACTTAGAAACGTCTTATGGCAGACACCATCCCAGTGTCAGACACAGCCATGATTAAATAAGGTAAAGACAAGTTGAAAGGCTTGTTTAACTAATTCCCAGACATGTTAGGCCACTCTCCAATGACTTTGACAGACTATGGAGAACAGGAGAGGTGCCTGAAAGCTGGAAAAGAGCCAGTGTCACTCCAGTGTTCAAAAAGAGCATGAAGGAGAACCCAGGTACCTACAAGCCACTCAGCCTCACCTCCATCCCTGGAGAGATGATGGAACAGCTAATTCTAGATGTCATCTCTAGGCACGTGGAGGACAAGAAGGTGATCAGGAGTAGTCAGCATGGATTCACCAAGGGGAAATCGCGCTTAAGCAATCTGATAGCTTTCTATGATGGCGATGACTGTCTGGGTAGATGAGGGGAGAGCAGTGGATGTTGTCTGCCTTCAGCAAGGCTTTCAACACTGTCTCCCATAACATCCTCACAGGCAAGATCAGCAGGTTAGATGAGTGAACTGTGAGATGGATTGAGAACTGGCTGGATGGCAGAGCTCAGTGGATTGTGATCCTCAGGGCAGTCTAGTTGGAGGCCTGTAGCTAGCTGTGTGCCCCAGGGGTTGGTCAGTATTAAGTCTAGTCTTGTTCAACTTATTCATCAATGACATGGACAAACGCAGTAGATGCTCCCTCAGCAAGTTGCTAATGATCCCAAACTGTGACAACTGGCTGCAGTTAGAAATAAGGACCTTATTCAGCAGAACACTCTACAAGTAAAATAATGCAGTTGTCTAGAACTTCAGAAATCTGATTTTCTACCTAAAAGGACATTTTATTTTAAGCCTGGTGTTTTAGTCAGTGATCTTCATTTAGATATTACAATATCATCAAAGGAATTTGAGCATTTACAGGAAACCATGAATTAAATAACTGAAAGATGCTTTTGTTACTCAAGTACCATAGAGCTCTGAAATGACTTGTCAGAGATCTGCAGAAATCCTGGAGAGTACCTCTGTGCTTTAGCCAGTAACAAATAATAATTGCAGGAGTAACCCTATTTTAAACCAAGTGTTGGACTGAACAAAAATATCTCATCTATCCCTTTATAGGGCAGATTAACAAAAACGAAGTCCTGAAGTGGCCAGGCACAGGCTATCATGAATGTTCTTGTGAAGTCTGCCTTAAAATAAACCTGTGCTTATTTTGATCAACTTTCATTCTAGCCCTGATGCCCTTCAAGTCTACTCAAAGACAAAAGTGCTGTTTTAGGAAAGCAGCATAACCAGGGGCACTTCGCCTTTGCTCCAGCTACTGCTGGGCCCTAAAGAAGATTGCTAGTATGAAACATACAGGAATATAGAACAGCTTTTGCCAATAATTTTCCTTGTTAATTCTGTCCCTGAATTTGTAGGTCAACAGAAACCATAAGAGAAACACAGGCAACAAGTTGTAACACCTGATACCTAGCATATTAATTTATCTGTTGGAATGTTTATCATACAGTCACGTTGCTTTATTTTCTCAAGTTTTTATAATGGTGGTTAAAGATGGGGGGGAGGGAGGGAAATGGATTTTATTTAACAGTTCTATAGTAGTTTCACTACAGCTACTGCCCTCATACAATATCCCTGCAAATACCATTACTTCATTTGGCACATTTTGCACACAACCTGCAATTTCAATTACTTGTTAATTTTTTTTTATCGTAAAATATTTTATTGTTATTATTATTATATATCGCACAATAGTCAAAGTAGCAAATCTAAAGGGACACTTAACAGAGAGGAGCTCAAAGTATGAAACAAATTATTCTGCTATCTAAAATAACAGGGCAAAGCAACTCCTACACACGTATGGTAATAATTTCAAAATCTATCTTTTATTGGATTTGAATAATAATAATGGCATATGCTTTCTGTAGGTCTTCTCTTATTAAATAAATTGTTCACAACATAATTCTTTAACAAATTAAAATGCTTTGCATGTTTTCAGCTACATAATATCAAATCTATCACTCAAAAATTAACCTTGAATTATGGATTCAATTTCTCCAATTTCTACTTAAAGGACAAACCAAGGCATTATTCCATAGGTTTGATTATTGACACTATTTATAGTTTTAGTTATTTGTATTTGTAATAATAGCTGAAATTTTACTTCTGAATTTCGAATCAAGTCTTGGTAATGTATATTATTCATACCAATAATTTTATAAAGCAAAGTGCTCTGCAGTATCACTGCAATCTTTATTGATAATGTTATTTATAAGCAACTGAATTAGGATGGAGTCTCCTTCTCTGGAGATCTTCAAAACCTGCTTGGACGCAGTCCTGTGCCACGTGCTCTAGGTGACCCTGCGTGTGCAGGGGGGTTGGACTAGTTGATCTCTAGAGGTCCCTTCCAACCTTAAGCATTCTATGATTCTATGATACTAATTCCTGAACTGTGCTAAATTATTTGAATCAATTCTCTTTTCATTTTAACATCCTACAAAATCATCTTTTATATGTAATAGCATAACTAAAATTTAGTGCTCTTGGAAACACTAACCTAAGTCTCACTACCATTTCCACTTCACTTTAGCTATAACTGTGAAGTATTTGATAAAATTTGATAAAATACTTCACAGCATTTGATAAAATGCTGAAATGAAACAAACTCTAATAACTTTCTAACAGGAAGAAATGGGAGTAGAAGTCAAAACTCCTCTTAATCTGCTATAGAACCCATTCTCTAAAATCATCTACCTCACTGAGTATTTAAAGTATCTGATGGAATCCAGCTGCCACCGATATTTAATTGTGTCTGTGTATCAACAGATCTCCCTCGTGCTCCTTTGAAAACTGTTTGCTCATTAATATTCTCTATTCTACTTTGCAGCAGAAACACCAATTTTTTATGCGTTAGACCTCCCCATTCTGCCACTACAAATGAAGACAAATAACTTGTTTGATCACAAAAACTAAAATTTCTTTAAAGCTATTGATATTATGTATTGAAAATGCTTTGCATACCCTGAAGAGGGCATGCAAATATCTTTTATATATATATATATATGTAAAATATAAAATACATAAAATATTGAATAGCATTAAGTAGCACAGAATTTGTGCTGCTCCTGTATGGAAAAGAAGTCTTCATACCTCCCATTTGTGTGATAATTTTGAACAGGAGATCTTAGCGGAATACCAGACACAAATTCAAGTAAAAAGATGTATGAAATACAAGTAAGAGGGAGATGAAACACGATTTCATCACAGCCCATGCAAACTCAGTTTAAAAAGGGCAAGCTATGACTTGGTCAGGTCAAGGGTCAAAGACTATTCCCCTTTTCTGAAGGAAAAAAAAAAAACAAGAGTGGGAACTGAGGTACCATAAAACCTGAATTTGGCCATAATGTTGCCATTTTGAATGCCTGCAGGATTCTAACTCTTCTATGAGTACTTTTGCTTTCCCTCTCTATTGGAGAAGGAAAATATTTTCAGCAGTGACAAGGTTTTTGCACCTCTACATGGTGATGCCACATATCAATCACTCCAATTAACTAGTACCTTACAGAATGCCAACTTCTGATCTAGTCTTTAGGAGTCTTCTAACTGCAAGAGATTCTTCGTGTAAAGGGCAAGTACTTTCAAAAAAAAAGAAAAAGGCACAAACAAAAAAAACACTAGCAAAAAAAATTAAAAATTCACAAACTTCAAGGGAGAAAAAAAAGCAATGGAGATGAACATTGTTTCCACTTTTCCAGACGGTTTGGGTCAGGGGCTGCTTGCACCGGTTCATTGCTGCCACCTGCGGGTCAGCACACCGTGTTTTCCAGGGCAGGCTGAACAGCCAAGCTGCCACCTACACAAGTCCTAAACGCCCCCATGTCACATTAAATAAAGCACAGAGCTGGTTTGTTTGTTTAGAAAGG